ATCATCTGAATGATCAGAGCATCAGCAACTCATAATTAAAATGGGGGAAAAAAACAAACAATATCAAGGTAGATTAACAATGAAAAAAAAGAAAAAAGAAAAAATTGAAAGCAAGCACTGCAGACAAGTACACTCAAACGAAATCCTGTTACTCAAAAAAATCTCAAACTATTTACTCAAATCTTATCTGAAGAACATAAACTACAGAAGACGTGGCACTATCAGAGAAGATAAGCATGTGAAGAGAGGCGATTGGCTTTTATGATGCAAGAGCGACAGAGAGCTGTTTGCGGAATTCTTATACACGGTTTTACCTGAGGTGCAGGTGAGGTCAGTCCAGGGCTTGGGCTCTGGAAAACATAGCAGATTATTGTTTTGGGATTTAAACAATGGAATTAAAATTATATACATATGGAACATATCATGTGAGCAATGCCAGTTAGTTTGATTATAAAGAATTTAGAGTATATATATAATAGTTGCCGTTTACTTTAGATAACCTAACTGCAATATTTTGTGGGTCTTAACTGTTTTAAGTATTACATATAATGACCTCCTTCTTATGATTTATTGTAATTTATCAAACAATTTTAACTGTTTATCATCCATGAAGTGATACTTTACTCTTTCACATTCTCCTGTCACTGAAAATTTGTACTATTGGAGAGTATATACATTAAACTGTATATCACACTTACTTCTTTCACCTGTTGGGACACAGACTTTCCCACTCTAAGCTATACAGTTCTAGTCTGATGAACTATACTATGATAAATAAGCTGCATGCATATTTTGATCAATTCTATACATCATATGATCATAAACTAACTCATTAAGCTGATAATATATATTTGTGCTGAAATTCTGCTGACCAAAATTACCCAAATTTCTTATGAGAGTGTTTTATAGAAAAAAAATATGGATTTCTTGTTGAGGAGGATTTCAAAATATTTGATGATTTTTTTTTTCTATATTCATACATACTGAATTAGTTAAATTTAGGTGTTAAAAAGGTTTGAGAATGAAATAAAAACATATTCAACTAAGAAATACTACAATAAGTAATAAAAAGAACAATGATAAAACTACTAGTAAAAATGAATGTGAAAATAAAGAAAAAGAAAAAGAATATACTATTTAAATTAATCCATTAAGTAAAAACAAACAAAAGGAAAGAAAGAAAGGAAAAAAATATACACATACAAAATATATATACCTATACATATATATATATATATATATATATATATATATATATATATATATATATATATATATATATATATATACATACATACATACATACATACATACATATATATATATATATGTATATATATATATATATATATATATATATATATATATATATATATATATATATATATATATATATATATAAATATATATATATATATGCACACATGTATATACATATATATATATATATATATATATATATATATATATATATATATATATATATATATATATATATATATATATATTTATATATTTATATTTATATATATATATTTATATATATATATGTATATTTATAAATACTTATATATATATATATATATATATATATATATATATATATATATATATATATATATATATATATATATATATATATACACACATATATATATATATATATATATATATATATATATATATATATATATATATATATATATATATATATATATATATATACATATATATATATATACATATATATATATATATATATATATATATATATATATATATATATATATATATATATATATATACATATATATATATATACACACATATATACATATATATATATATATATATATATATATATATATATATATATATATATATATATATATATATATATATACAGATACACATGTACATACACACACACACGTATATATATACATATATACATATATATGTATATATATACATATTTATATATATGCATATGTGTGTGTATGTATATGTATATGTGTGTATATATGTATATATATGTGTGTATGCATATATATGTATATGTATACATATATGTATATATATATACATAAATATACGTATATGTATATATATATACATAAATATACGTATATGTATATATATACATACACACATATACCTATGTATATCTATACCTATACCTATAAATATATATATATACATATAAATAATGTATATATATATATATATATATATATATATATATATATATATATATACACATGTGTATATATATATATATATATATATATATATATATATATATATATATATATATATATATATATATATATATATATAAATATATATATATATATATATATATATATATATATATATATATATATATATATATATATAATATTTAAATAAATACATCATACATACACAGAACCAAATAGGGAACAATTAAAAAATTACTCTCTAACTTGAAAAAAAAAGTATTACAAAAAAACGACCA